CAGGGATAAATGCATTGACATTTGCCTTCGTAAAGTCAAGCACACAAGGCTATGGGCCAAATGCTGGAAACTGGGACTAGAATGGATGGAGGTTTGATGAGCTGCACTGAAACGATGGGCCAAATGGTCTTCTTCCACGCTGTAAAAACTCAGAGACGGGGAAACCGATCTGCAGCGAACATGATCAGAAATGAAAACGCAAAAGCAGTGTCATTAAGAAAAGACAAGAGCCAATCTGCTGTATTTCTTGGTGGTTTCGTGGTTAGGATTTAGCGCTTTCACCGCCGCTGCCCGGGTTTAATTCCCAGTCAGAGAATAGAAGTTCTGTTGTGTTAATGTATCGTGATGACAGCACTTCTGACTGATCAGGAGCTAGCAGCTAATCTGATTTGCCCCAAACGTTGTGCAGGTTAACATAAAACAAAGAACTGAGGCAATCTGACACAAAACAGAATTTGGTAGAGAAACCCAGTAGGCCTAGCAGCATCTGTAGAGAGAAACAGAGCTGACGTTTCAGATCCACTGACCGTTCATCCCTACTAGGTTAATTATGCATTTCTATATTATAAGGTCGGGAGAAATTATTCGCTTTACCTGTCGAATCAACGTATTTATCAAATTCACTCTCTCATTAGCTTACTCACGCCAACTTTACAACTTTAAAAGGATTTCATCAGCTGTAATGCTGCTTCCGTTGCCATGAGGTGCTGAAAAGCTCCGCTAAAATGGTTGCCTTTTTCTTTTCTTTTCTGTCAGTTAGCAGCCATGTCGAATGGAGAATTGGTCCTTTCAGTGTCTACCACAATATGTGTCTCTATTTGTCTCACCCCCTTCCACATTCTCCGACACTCCATTGTCCACATCCCCCTTTTCCCATTTCTGCTCTTTGAAAAGTCTGAAATTCGGAGACACTTTGAGAGTGGAGTGTCTAGTACTGGGCTCACATTCCTTGGATAATGTGTCTGTCTGTTATGACTGAGGTAAGGAGTCATTTCTTGTCTCAAAAGATTGTGAATCTTCAGAATTCAAAATAGAATTCCTTACCCACCAGAAAAAAAACAATGCCACCACAATTATAATATTATAGCGATGTCTTTACTGTTGGTGTAAAAATGAATGAGGGTGATCTTTTCAAAGAGCAGACATGGGAAATGAGGGATGTGGACAATGGAGTGTCGGAGAATGTGAAAGGGGGTGAGGTGGATACACAGACTCAAAGAGAGACAAATAGAGACACATATTGTGGTAGACACTGAAAGGACCAATTCTCCATTCGAAATGGCTGCTGACTGACAGAAAGGAAAAGAAAAATGTCTGTGCCATTACCACAACATTCCCCGGTAAGGCTACAGTTTATCCAGCCTCACCTCGTTATTCCGACCAAACTGTGAATGAAGGGATGAGAATACAAGAAAAGGAGAAGCAGAAGTGCTTGTGGAACAGCAGAAAGGAACTTCATGGTGAATCGAGCAGAAAAAGAGGAGACACTGAAGCAGCCTCCTGACGACAAACGTATTTTCTTTGCCAGTAAAACTCACGGCTTCACAAATCAGGGACCTTGAAGTGAAGCAGTGACGGTGATTATCTTTGTTGGTTGTTCACACTGTGAATATTACCGTTCTTGTTCATGTCCGTGCTAACACCACAACTCTACTGCATATAAGCATCACACATAAACCGGTGATAAGTTCTGAAAACAGAAAGGCCTCCAGCTGCGCAATAAGGCTGACTCCCTGCATTAGGATCTTTTGCAGAGCCTAATGTTAACAGGTTCTGTTTTGCAATTGGTCAGTGCACTCGGATATTGAGAGAAAGACTGGTGTTTTGAGACGACCCAGGAATGCAACCTCTTGTGTTTTCCTACTCATCGACGTTTCCGGTGACACAGAAGATTGTCAATCTGGATTGTACCTTCAGGAGATAGCTTCGAAACTTTGTCAGCTCCACAGTTATTCAGTCAGACCCCGGACATACAGGTTTTAATACAGTTATTCTCAACATGTACCTTCATTTAATTCATAGAAATGTATGAAGAGATTGGAATCAAGTAAACATATGAATGATTTTCACTTGCCCTGCTCCACACGGAGTGAGACAGGGACGAGCAGTTGGATTTGACCCCGCACTCTTCAATCCTCCGCGACCACCAGAAAACGGCCACTGCAGATTCCAGTGAAAAAGAAGGACTGTAAGAAAAGGGGTAATCTGCCATGGGTGTCTAAAGAAATAAGGGAGGCTATCAAATTGAAAGAGAAGGCATACAAAGTGGCCAAATACAGCATGAAACTAGAAGATTGGGAAAACTTTAAAGGTCAATAGAAAGCCACAAAAAGAGCTGTAAAGAAAAGTAAGATAGAACATGAGAAAAAACTAGCACAGAATATAAAGACAGATCGCAAAAGTTTCTATAAATATATAAAATGAAAAATAGTGGCTAAAGTAAATGTTGGCCCTTCAGAGGATGAGAAGGGGAATTTAGTTATGGGATATGATGAAATGGCCGAGACATTGAACAGGTATTTTGTATTGGTCTTCACAGTGGAGGACACTAACAACATGCCAGTAATTGACAAAGAGACAAAGGTAGGTGAGGACCTGGAAACAATCATTATTATGGAAGAGATAGTGTTGGGCAAGCTAATGGAGCTAAAGATTGATAAGTCTCCTGGCCCTGATGGAATGCATCCCAGGGTACTAAAAGAGATGGCAGGAGAAATAACAGGTGCACTGGCAGTAATTTTCCAAAATTCGCTGGACTCTGGGGCAGTCCCAGCAGATTGGAAAACAGCAAATGTGACGCCACTGTTTAAAAAGGGAAGTAGACAAAAGATGGGGAATTATAGACTGGTTAGCTTGATCTCTGTAGTGGGGAAGATGCTTGAGTCTATTATCAAGGAAGAAATAGCAAGGCATCTTGATAGAAATTGTCCCATTGGGCAGATGCAGCATGGGTTCATGAAGGGCAGGTCATGCTTGACAAATCTTTTGGAATTCTATGAAGACATTATGAGCAAGGTGGACAATGGGGACCCAATGGATGTGGTGTACCTAGATTTCCAAAAGGCCTTCGACAAGGTGCCGCACATGAGGCTGCTGCATAAGATAAGGATGCATGGCGTTAAGGGTAAAGTATTAGCATGGATAGAGGATTGGTTGACTGACAGGAAGCAAAGAGTGGGGATAAATGAGTGCTATTCCAGCTGGCAGTCAGTGACCAGTGGTGTGCCTCAGGGATCGATGTTGGGACCGCAATTATTTACAATTTATATAGATGATTTGGAGTTGGGGACCACGTGTAGGGTGTCAAAGTTTGCAGATGACACTAAGATGAGTGGCAGAACAAAGTGTGCAGAGGACTGTGAAATTTTGCAGAGGAACACAGATACATTGAGTAAGTGGGCAAAGGTCTGGCAGATGGAATGCGATGTAAATAAATGTGAAGTCATACATTTTAGTAGGAGTAATAGTAAAAAGGATTATTACTTAAATGGTAAAAAGTTGCAGCATGCTGCTATGCAGAGGGATCTGGGTGCCCTTGTGCATGAATCACAGAAGGTAGGTCTACAGGTACAACAAGTAATTGGAAAGGCAAATGGAATTTTGTCCTTCATTGCTAAAGGGATTGAGATTAAAAGCAGAGAGGTTATGTTGCAGTTGTACAAGGTGCTGGTGAGGCCACACCTGGAGTACTTTATGCAGTTTTGGTCTCCTTACTTGAGAAAGGATGTACTGGCACTGGAGGGGATGCAAAGGAGGTTCACTAGGTTGATTCCGGAGTTGAGAGGGTTGGCTTATGAGGAGAGACTGAGTAGATTGGGATTATATTCATTGGAATTCAGAAGATTGAGGGGGGATCTGATAGAAACATACAAAATTATGAAGGGAATAGATAAGATAGAAGTAGAGAGGATGTTTCTACTGGCAGGTGAAGCTAGGACAAGAGGGCATAGCCTCAAGATTAGAGGGAGCAGATTTAGGACTGAATTGAGAAGGAACTTTTTCACCAAGAAGGTTGTTAATCTATGGAATTCCTTGTCCAGTGAAGTAGTTGACGCTATTTCAGTAAGCGTTTTTAAAGATAAAGTAGATTTTTTTTGAACAATAAAGGAATTAAGGGATACTGTGAGAACGCGGGTAAGTGGATCTGAGTCCACGAAAAGATCATCCATGATCTTATTGAATGGCGGAGCAGGCTCAAAGGGCCGGATGGCCTACTCCTGCTCCTAGTTCTTATGTTCTTATGTTCAATCAGCCGCTTCGTGTCCATCCTTGGGAGGCAAGATCCTCCAACCGGGGCCAAACATCTCAATGCACCGAGCACAGGCTCAGGAAAACACAGGGAGATTCCATTCCGCTCAGTAAACTTCAGAGCAACATTGACACAATCTCCAAGTGAGTGGAACTTACTCTGAGCCTCACTTGGGAAACCTCATTTGATACAACGAGTGAAAACCTGTTCCTTCTGAACAGTTGGTCCCGTGTGGAAAAGGGCGAAAATCATTTTACATTTCACAACGGCTGCAGCAAATTCTCCTTGATCTTCGAATCTTTTTAACCGAACTGTGAAAATCCAGTCCCCAGATGCGAAACTGCAGAATTTGCTGATGTACCGAACAAACAAAGTGCTGAATGTATTGAGTGAGACTGGGCAGACAGACACGCATTTCACACAGTCCGTAACAGAAATAACTGGGTTTATTGAAGCAGATTCACCGTCTCTCAGACTGACTGACAGTCGCATGGGCAACTCAAGGATGAGGGCACCGACATGAAAATATGAATTTTGAATGTTAAATCCCGGAACCAGTGCTGAAAATGGATTATAATGGTCTGAAGGAGTAACAGCTGAAAATTGGAAGATGTAACTGATGTTATTTGTGATTGAGAGGAATGAACTGGAAACTTGTGACTTTCCAGGTGGATCATCTTTGGCACATTGAAATTAGGTTGCAGGGGATTTGGCTCCGTGTGAAATGGGAAAATAAGTGGAATTTCATTGAGCCCAGCTCGCTCAGTTGGTAGAGCATGAGACTCTTAATTTCAGGGTCATGGGCTTGAGCCCCACGCTGGGCGTCATTCCCTCTTGCAACTTTACTTTCTGAGGTGAAGCCCAGCTATTCAGTCCTCCAAGTAGCTTTAGCTCTGCCGAAAACATGGTTTCTCTTCTGCTGCTTTGATTAAGATACTGGTTTCCTGTTTTAGAGTGCAAATTGTTTCCACTTCACTGGAAGTCCCAGAGATCAGTTTGTAGGTGCAGCCGCTTGTATAATAAATGACAAGACTTTTAAAGGGGCAAACCCGACTCCAATCCTGCACCAACAAGACTTTTCAGAGTCACAGAATGAGAATGGTCACTTCCTGGGCGGCTCCATGTCAAATGGAGCTGAACCAGAATTACCTAATTCTGAGGATACCATGAAAAACATCAATGAAGTCTCCCTGAACGTTACCCAATTCACAGGGAAAATTATCTTCTTTTGTGATCGTGTGGGTTTATTCAATAAAATCTTCATTCTCGGTAAGAGAGGGGAAAAACTGTGAGTTTTCAGTGTGTGACAGAAGTGATGTGGGTGAACCCGGAAATATGGTGCAGTGTTCTTTATCGAAGCACAATATACTTTCGCACAGGCACATTATGTTTGTTGCTCAACCGAATCTCACAAGATGCGTTCGGCTTTGCATTGATATTGGCTTTGATAGAAGGTTATCGGCATCTGGCACAAAACTGATGTTGTAGCTAAGTAGCAAAGAAAACAGACAAGATGAGTGGGGTTCCTCACAAGAGTTTTCCGGTGCCTTTGCATCAGTTGTGTGCAGTAGTATGATTGGAAAATGTCATATGTGAGCTGTAAATGCATGCTGTGGTGACTTAGTCGAGCGGTCTAAGCTGCTGCGTTCAGATTCTTGCTTCTGAGAAGGTATGGGTTCAAATCCTACTGTGGGCACCTGTTAGACCAAAGATGCGTTTAACGTCTCGTTGTTTTGCCCAAAGTAATCTATGACGTGGGACAGCACAAAGCCTCCATCGGGTCAGAGTCCATGGTGCAGTAGTTATCACGTGCGGAATGCCCCCAGCATGATCGTGGGAACAAGCAGGCTTGCGCTGCTACGCCATGTCCCAGGCAAGTTGCGGTGCTCACTGTATTCGCTGAAAATGAATGCAGATCGTTATTTTGCTACTGGTGTGAAACAAAACCCTGCATTGAGTCTACTTGCGGTTATTTGCCTTTTCTGGTGAAAAGGAGGGTATTGCGATGTGAAATTTCTCTCATTTCCTCATTTCTGTTCCGGAGAAGGGAGCTGATGAGCCACCTTCTTGATCCGCTGCAATCGTTGAGGTGCAGGCAGACCCGCATTGTTGATCAGAAGGGAAACCTCATCTAATCGATGTGATTGCTCGCGTTCACTTTTCGTGGGTCATTCTTACTCTTATTCTTTTTATTTCCTGACTTGAGCAGTTTCCGGTAAGTGGCGATGGATTAAACTTCCAGTGTATTTGGAGGAGCAGTTTGGAAGTGCCCCGGGGTATTGGGGTATTGGCATCTGGTGGGAAATTGATATTGTAGCTGGGTATAGCCGAGCAGCTAAGAAAATGGGCGAGGAGGATAGGCTTCCTTGAAGCCCTTACCGGTGCCTTCGCTTTTGTTGTGTTCCGGCAGCAACATCGCAAAAATCATTTTTGAGAGAATCGCTCGTATAACATGGTGTCCTGTGACCTCTGGTATTTGCTCTTGCCCAGAAGTGGAAATCTTCGCCGGAATACTGACCGACTAAGCAGAAAGATGGGGAAAGTGAAAGGAATTATGATAATGTTGCTGGTGCCTGGACTGCCTGTGGAACAATTTCGCAATGGGATCTGCCGTTCTCGGATTCTAAATCTGCTTACCATTCGAGACGAAGGATTTTTTTTGGAGCCACTTATTTTGCATCACAGGCTTAATAACTGTAAGTATGTTGCACGGTATTATCTCGTGCGCGGCTCACTCGGCTTTGTGCATTTTCCCTGCCGGCCGGTGCTGATCATTTTACACTTACACCGGAAAGTTATTCCGGTTTGAACAAGGGACCAAATCATATTCCAATATGAAGATGTAAATCCCAGAAATGTCGGAGAGCTCGTATTTTCTTTATCGGAATATACATTCTCACAGACACAAAGCATTTGTTGGTCACCGAGTCTAAAAGATACGTTCAGCTTGTCATTCATTTTTGTTTTGATTGAAGGGCTGCAGGTATTTGTTGCAGCACACATCACAACCGTGAAGGTATAGGAGGAGTAGAATGGGGATCGATATAAACCAGTGACTAATCTCCCCAGCGCCCGATGTGCAATCGTGAACATTCGGCCCCAGTGCCTGATGTTAGACCATGACCACTTTCCCCCACAGCCCAGTATAAACCAGTGAACTTTCTCCCACAGAGTCCGATGTAAAACAGTGAACATTCTCTCGCAGAGCCCAACATAAAAGAGTGAACATTATACCCCAGAGCCCGATATGAAACGGTGACCATTCTCGTCCAGAGCCAAGCATAAAATAGTGACACCCGCTAATCCTCATAAACCCGCATTTAGCATGGCTTACCAACCTGGCCTGCACATCCCCGCACACAACGCGGCAATTTCCCATAGCAATTATATGAATTATATAAAGCCAAAAACAGGAAAGGCTTGTTGGATTAGTGGTATGACCCTTGCATAGGGTACTATGCAGTGTTAAAATGTGAGAGGCCCTGGGTACAACTCCTCAATGAGCCCAGGTATGTTATTTCACTTTTGGATTACAATGCTGTCAGGCAAGAACTTCGGAGAGGAATTTGGGAATAGATGTTCTCAGAGAAATGCACGACAGAAATGTGGAGGTTATTTAGGAAGCTCTTGCTACAGCTACTGGATAGGTTTGTCCCACTGAGGCAAGGAAATGATGGTAAGGTGAAGGAGCCTTTGATGACGAGATACGTGGAACACCTAGTCAAGAGGAAGAAGGAAGCTTACTTAATGTTAAGGAAACAAAGATCGGACAGGGCTCTAGATGTCGACAAGGTCGCCAATAAGGAACTGAAGACTTAGGAGAGCAAGATGGGGGGGGTATGGCAGCTAGGACTTAGGAAAATCCCAAGGCATTCTCTTCTTATGTGAGGAATAAGAAGATGGTCAGAGTAACGGTAGTGCCTAACAGGGATAGTGGAGGGAACTTCTGCGCAGAGCCAGATGAGGTAGGGGAGGTCCTTAATGAATACTTTGCTTCAGTATTCACCAGTGAGAGGGACCTTAACATTTGTGAGGATAGCATGAAAAAGGCAGATACGCTCGAACAGGTTGATGTTAGGAAGGAGGATGTGCTACAAATTTTGAAAAACATGAGGATAGATAAGTCCCCTGGGCCAGACGGGTTATGCCCAAGGTTGCTACAGGAAGTGAGGGAAGAGAATGCTTCGCCTTTGGTGATGATTTTTGCGTCCTCACTGTCTACTGGAGTAATACCAGATGATTGGAGGGTGGCAAATGTTATTCCCTTGTTCAAGACAGGGAATAGGGATAATCCTGGGAAATACAGAACAGTCAGTCATTCTGTGGTGGGCAAATTATTGGAGAGGATTCTGAGAGACAGTATTTATTGATTATTTGGACAAGCACAATTTGATTAGAAATAACCAATGTGGCTTTGTGAGGGGCAGGTCATGCCTCATAAGCCTTATTGAATCCTTTGAGGATGTGGCAAATTACATTGATGAAGATCGAGCAATGGATGTGGTGCATATGGATTTTAGATAAGCATTTAATTAGGTTCCCCAGGGTGGGCTCATTTAGAAAGTTAGGAGACATGGGATTCATGGAAATTTGGCTGTCTGGATACAGAATTGCTGTCCAATAGAAGCCAGAGGGTTGCAATAGATGGAAATTATTCAGCCTGGAGCTTGGCGATCAGTGGTGTTCTGAAAGAATCTGTTCTGGGAACCCCACTCTTTGTGATCTTTATAAATGACTTGGATGAGGAAGTGGAAGGGTGGGTTAATAAGTTTGATGATGACACGAAGGTTGGTGGCATGGTGGATAGCGTGAAGGGCTGTTGGAGGTTGCAACGGGACATTGACAAGATGCAAAGCTGGGCAAAGAAGTGTCAGATGGAATTCAACCTGGAAAAGTGTGAAATGATTCATTTTGGAAGGTCGAATTTAAATGCAGAATATAGGGTTAATTGCAGGATTCTTGGCAATGTGGAGGAACAGAGGGATCTTGGAGTCATCGATAGACCCCTCAAAGTTGCTACCCAAGTTAATAGGGTTGTTAAGAAGGTGTATGGTGCGTTGGCTTTCATTGGCAAGGGAATTCAGTTTAAGAGCCGCAAGGTTATTTAAAACCCTGGTTAGATGACACTTGGAATATTGTGTTCAGTTCTGATCGCGTCATTATAGGAAGGATATGAAAGCTTTAGTGAGGGTGCAGAGGAGATTTACCAGGATGTTGCCTGGACTGGAGGCCAGGTCTTATGAGGAAATGTTGAGGGAGCGAGGGCTTTTCTCTTTGGAGCAAAGAAGGATGAGCTGTGACTTGATAGAGGTATATGAGATGATGAGAGGCATAGATAGTGTGGATACCCAGAGACCTTTTCCCAGAGCGGAAGGGACTATTATGAGGGGGCATACTTTTAAGGTGATTGGAGAAAGATATAGTGGAGATGTCAGAGGTAGGTTCTTTACAAAGAGAGTGGTGGGTGCGTGGAATGCGCTGTCGGCGGTGGTAGTCAAGTCAGATACATCAGGGACATTTAAGAGAGTCTTGGACAGGCGCGTGGATGATCGTAAAACATAGAGTATGCAGGGTAGTTTGATCTTAGAGGAGGATAATAGTTCGGCACAACATCGTGGGCCGAAGGGCCTGTGCTGTACTCTTCTATGTTCTATGCGTTCAATTCACCTAGCCTGCATAAGTTTAGACCGTGGGAAGAAATTGAAGCACTCAGACGCAGACATGGTGAGAATGTACATCCTCCACGTAGACATGGAAGCTGGGTCCTTCTTGCTGAAAGGCCCCAAAAATTCTTGGATCCAGGCTGGTAGAGAATTGAACCCCA